TACTTATACTTATTTACTAATACGTAATGAACAATTTCACATTTTTTCATCACATCAAAGATTCTGCTCCTAAATAGGGCTGGCATCTGCCTATGCTTTTTTTCAAATTTACAATCCCTGATGGGGACAGAGTACCCAGTAAGCACAGGTAAGCACAGGCTTACTTGTGTTTACTAACTGTAGCCAACGGTTTCACATTGGTGAAACACGTGAAACTGTTGACTACCATTAGTAAGCACGAGTAAGCCTGTGATGTGGTGAAACCTGTGAAACTGTTCCCGAGAGATTAGTAAGTAAGCACAAGTAAGCCCCTGCTTCCCTTGCTTACAGGGTACCCTGTCCCTGAAGACAAGTCTCAAGAAAATGCCTAAATGCTTGGTTGCCACCAATGTCAAATTTCTATCACTTCCCCAAAATAACAGATCTCAAGTATAATCCAAGAAATTAGACAAACTCCCTTACAGAAACCCCAGGAAACAAGTGCTACTGTTTGTTCACAGAGTATTTTTCTTTCTTATAGATCATTCTTAAGATTTACCAAACCACACGACAGGCCATTAATTCCATTCCATTAAAAGTCCTAAGATCGGCAGAGCATGGCAGACTGCTGAACGCCAACTCGGCTACATGCAGGGTTCAAGCATGCCATTAACTAGACACCGTTCCCCAAGGCTTCTCCTTATATACAGGAAGCAGACCACAGCCCAAAGGCAGCTATTCAGCTGCTCACAGTAGATTCCACCATGGAGTTGATTACCAGTCTCATCATGTGGATACTATATCCAGCTGCCCAGCCACTCAACCAGGCCCAGCCAAGTTGACACACAAACTTAACTACCACAGTTGCTATGAGTCAGAATCGACTAGAAGGCAATGAGTTTGGTTTTCCTGGTTTAGTGATGTGAATTGTTTAAGTACATCCCCATATGCGTATTATATTTTCACAAGAAAGATTAAGCAACAAAAGCCATCCAAGTCCCTACCTTTCAATGGTTTTCAATCAAATACTTATTTAAAGGCATTCTCACTTTCTCAATGATAAATGTTATCTAAGAACAAAGATAAAGTCTGAAATTCACTTCCACATTTTACATCAGAGTCCAACCTCCATAGAGGCTTTCCTAACATGGGCGGCTGCTAATCAAAAGATTGGAGGTTTGAGTCCAACCAGAGGTGCCTCAGAGAAAGGCCTGGTAATCTACTTCCAAAAAATCAGCCACTGAAAACTCTATGAAGCACAATTCCACTCTGACACAGATGGGGTTACCATGAGTTGGAATTGGCTCAAAAGCAACTACTTAAAAAAAAAAAAAAAAAGTCACATGCAACACTAGTTATAGATTGACCATTTGTTATACAAAACATGATTTATTGATTTAATTTTCCAGATTCAAATATGAGACATTAATAACATATTATACAAAGTGGCAGTGCAGTGCCTATGGCATCTGACTGCTAACCAGAAAGTTGCCGGTTCAAACCCACCCCAGGAAGACGGGGCAATCTACTTCCATAAAGATTTACTGCCTGGGAAACCCAATGAGGGTCACTATGAGTCAGAATCAATTCCTTGGCAGTGGGTTTACTTTTTTGGTTTTGATACATGGAAAGCAACCTATGAAATCTGTAAAGTGATAATAAACTTCAGGAAAACTTTACCAAAGTTTTTTTTTTTTTTTCCATTTGCTGAAATTCTTAAAAGTTCTCATTAAAGTATCTTCTCATTAAGTATCTTTTGGACATTAAGCCTTGACCACCCTCTTATTCAGAGTGGAATTTTTATTAATTTTTCTAGCTGAGATTTAACAGTCCTGAAATACACACACCAGCTTAAAAGGACTCAGCCACCTGCTGCCTCCGAGCTTCACAAAGGAATTCCTCCCAGAAGCACAAGAGGGAAGCCCTCCTTGGGCCTTGCCAGCAGCAGCAGCAACACTGGCGGCAGGCAGCTGCTCTAGGGTAGGAGAAACCGGAGCACTCTGAGCCTGGCCTACTCCTGGCTAGGCAACAGAAAACACAAGAGTTTTGGGGCAGAGAAAAAAGGAACACGGGCCAAAAAAAAAACCAGCAAATAGATTGTTCTTAAAAACTCTATCCTTTAATTGAAAATCATCCTACCAGACACCAAAAATGACACTTATTGACTAACTAGCCTAACTGTATCAAAACTCTCAGGAATCCAGGACCCAAACTCCTCAAAGAAATATAATCTGTTGCAAACTACTTTTGCTATGTTTGGTGTGCTCATCAAATAAAGTTTTGCATTGAATTGAGGGTAGTAGAAAAAATAAAGGAATAAGTAACCCAAATGTTGAATGCTGTGCTGCATTAACTGCATAAATGGTTTCCACTGTAATGTTTCTAGAAGACAATCTGAGAAAGTGTAAATCTCAAGCAGCAAATGTTTCAGACAAAAAGGATCATCTTCACTAGAGCTTTATAATAAAAGTTCCTTTGCTTTATAATAAAGCTTACTTCCATAGTGATACTGCCTGGGAAACCCAAGGAGGGGTAGCTATGAGACGGATCAGACTTGATGGCACTGGTTTTTTTTTCGTATTTTTTTTTTTTTGCTAAAAAAAGTCATCAACTGAAGAGTCATAGAGCAACATGCTCTGTACTCTGTATCTTTCCACAAACACAGTGGGCCTAACAGGCAATACAGCACAGTGGCTGAGAGATCAGACTCCAAAGGTCACCTGTTACAAAAATCCCAGTTCTACTACTTACTGCCTGTATGACCTTGAGCTAGTTAATTAACCGTTGCAAGCCTATTTCCTCATCTACTGGGTGGTGGTTGGGAGGTCTGAGTTTATAATGTAAGACACATAAAATAATGTCAAGCCTGTAACAATTAGCAGAGTGCTTATCCTGTCTACCTGCTTGGGGATTCAGTGGCCTCCAGAGGTTACCACAGCAAAGGGAACCTTCCTTCTACATAGTACTGACAATCTGAGAAGGGTAACTTTAAGTGCGAACAGTTCAACCTTCCAAATCCTCTCCCCTCACACACAAAACAGTACACACAATAGGGGCTTCCCCTCCAGCAGCCACTGTCATTTTCCATCAAAGGTGTTATACTCTAAGCAAAACTTCAGCTTCCTGACAAGGACCAAGGGATAAATACTAAAATATTGGAATTAACTTGGCCTATGATTTCCCAGGAACTGAATGAGTCACTCACTTCTTTTGTAACAGAGTAAAATGTCAAGGTTGCCAGAGAACCCAAGCCAGATGTTTGCATAAATCATTTCCAAGTGACCATCAAGCCAAAGCCAAAGGACATTATTCAATATAACACTTTACATAAAACACATCAGCTTTTATGATTTTCCTGTTATGGAAAAATTTCCGAAAATAGGGTTAGTGGGAGAGAGGGAAAAAAAAAAAAAAAGTAAGTTTAACCCAAAATAAAACAGCATTATCAAAGCTTAGAACCCCTCATTTTGCTCTGGTTTCAGATGGATTACCTCTTAGGAACTGTGGGTTTTTTTTTTTTTTTTACTTTTTCAAAAGAACTTTATTAAGAAACAGAAAATGTAAAGATGTAAAGTAAAAAACCAGAGGAATGAAAGCGTTTATGGCACAGATTTTTTACCCCGTGGGCAACTAAAATAAAGAAGCTGGGCTGACACCATTGACTGCATACCAAGGACCCTATTTGTAGGAACTGGTTTTGCTAACTGCTCCAAGAAGCATTTGAACAAGCTCTAAACAAGGTTTTAAGATATCAAACAGTGCATGTCTCACTACCTTTTCTCTATCACAACACGACCTAAAGGCAGCAGACACTTCTTAAATTTGATACATCTATTTGCCACATTTTAATCCCCATAATGCAAAATACTTTGCTCTCTATTGACCTGGGACCATCCATAAACGGGTCATTATTTTTTATTTCATTATAATTCATGAATAATTTATAGTCTAATTTCAATTAAATTTGGACCATTTACCTTAGCATACAAAACCAAGAAACAGCAAGGATACTCCTTAGTCATTTACATTGTCACAAAAGGTAGGGGGAAAATTCTTCAAGTTGTTCGGGTCCTCCATTTCTCTATCCCTGAGTCAAGTAGTTGTTAGATCAGTCTGCCTCAGAGTTTTGAATTCTACAAGTTCATTCATTACAGGAAATAAAACACAAAATTAGTTTTACTAATTTCTGAAATGTACAGGTAACTGGCAAGTAACTTGAATCTGAATTCGCACACGCGGCGCTGCACACTTCCATACAGAACCGGCTGTGTTGATCTTGCTTATTTTTAGCCAATTTAAATAAAAGTCTTAAGACGGGTCGTTTTCCAAACTCGTTAGTCAACTTGACCACTGGCCACGGGACTGAGCGCCCCACAGCTTCCAGCAGGAGTATAACATGTGCTTCCCCACTGTTCACCACGTCTGCTATTAACAAACCCGATGTAACAGCTAAAGAATGACGACACTAAAACCAACCCTACAGATTCACACCTAAGAGGTCCGTAACACGAAATGAACTTTTATTTCTCATAAGACAGTGAGAGTGGGAAACGCCCGGGTTTTAGGTGTTTGATTCATTTCCGCATCTCAGTGAGCGCTAAAGGTCTGGGCTCTGGCGGGTGGCTTAACCCTGAGCGACACAAGGAGCTACACAACAGACATATCCGGGCACCGCGCTAGCAAAGGGGCGCCTCACACCACGCCATATCCTCGGCCAGCAGGTGCCCCAGGCCACCCCGACAGGCCTGGTTGAGAGTGCGGTAACATGGCCACTTCCCCAAAGCGCCATCCCTCCACTATACGCCGCCCGCACTTTGTTAACTTGGCGCACCCGGGTGGCGAAGGCTCCCGAGTGGCGGTCAGAGCCTGGGCTGGAAGAGGTTCGGATCCTCCTCCAGTTCGGCTTTGCACTCCCCGGGCGCTGAGACGCGGCAGGAGGTGGAGGTCGCAAAGCAGTGAGTAACATAGGCCCCCACGCCTTCCTCCTCCAGCCCTCGCGCCCCGACTATTTCGGGGCTTACCTGGGGAAAGGAGCCCTCCCGGCGCGGGCTCTTGGGGTAATCTAAGTGACCCCGGTCCAGCATCAGGTAGAGCGAGAAGATCACCACGCAGAAGATCGCGCTGCCGAACACGGTGAACTGACGGCTTAACTTCATTTTCCTCGATAGACTCGGGGCCAAGGCTCTGTCCTCACGCGGGCCAGAGGAGGAGTCGGACTGAGGACTCCAGGAAACAGCCGCGGGAGGCTCCCTGCTCCCCGGCTACGCGCCCTTCAAGCTCTCGGGTGCGAGTACGGGCCGCGTTCCGCACCTTGTCTCCGGCGCCCCCAGGCGCCCTTGGCCTTAGCCCTAGCCCCGGTGCCCTCCTAGGTAGCGGTCGCTCCTCCCAAAGTGGGACCCGCCTGCAGCAGGGAAGGAGCCCTGCAAACTTGATCGAATGCCCAGCACCCGGACCCAGCAGGGCGCGCGGGGCAGGCGGAGGAGAGGTCGCCGCCCGGACTTCCTGCCACCGCCGCCCCGACCGAGTCGGCAGGAAAAGTTTTCTCGACAAGGGCAGGCGTGTCCTCGCCCAGAGGAGGCGCGGGTTCGGCGGATCCAGCGGCCAGCCGCACGCAGCTGAGTCTGCAGGAGCTGATGGGAAAGGAACAGGATCTCGAGAAGCCGGGCCCCACAACTTAGCGCTGGGACGACCGGTCCCGCCCCCGCGAAACCGCCCCCGCCTCCCTGGACCGAGCCCCTTCCTGCTGCCGCCGCCGCCGCCGCCGCCGCCGCAGCCAGGCTGGGGTGCACCCCGGGAGCGGGGGCGCACGGATCCGGCAGGAGTTTCCTCCGAAAGCGCGTCTGGCCGCCGGCCTTTCCCGCCCCCCGCTGCCCCTTCTTTCCCCCTCCCGAACCCGGGCTGCGCGGGGAGGGCGCAGGGGGCGGGCGGCGGCACAGGGAAGAGAAGGAGAGCTAGGAGAAGAAGATCGTCCCCGGAGAAAAGCCCGCTCCAGCTGCAGCCACGAACCCCCTCCCTCCTTCCCGCCCCGCAAACGCGGAGATGGCGGCAGCAGCTGAGAAAGGAAGCGCCGGTTCTCCAGCGCCACTCGGCGCTCCCGCAGCGCCCTCCACAAGCAGCAGACGGCGGCGGCGCAGCGGCTGCTGGGTCAATAGGCGCCCGCAGCCCCGGAGCCGAACAGGCGGCTGGCCCCGCCCCCTCCCGACGAGCCGGGATGAAGAGGCGGGGCTCCCGGCACCCAATCACTGAGCGCCGCCCGCCGGCCCTCCCGGTGTCTGCCTTCCTGCGCCCAGGCGGTGGGAAGACCTCAGACAGCTTTTGTGACCTGGGAGGCTGGTTTACAGGAGTTGAGGGCATCAGAGGCATTCGGGCTCCTGCAGCCCATTTTCCACAGAGTCTGAGCTTTCCCCAAAACTCTGTTTTGCTGTTTAGGTTTACGGCCCTTGAGGACTTGGGCCTGACGTACCTTAGCAGGGAACTTCGTGAGGGGCTGTAGGAAAAAGAGAAGGGGGCTGTGAATCCTATTCGCGGTCTTTTCCTCTGCTGTTTTTGGTGATACCCTGATCAAACCTGGCGGAAAGGAGCTTTCCAAAGGCCCCTGCAGGCAGATACAGATTTATGACTACAAAGTCTAAGAAGGAAATTAGAAGTGATGCCTCTGCCAGTTATTGAATTATTGCCCCTCAGCTCCAAATTCATCCTTTTTGACGGCAGTGTGAAAACAGATCTGGGCCTTTCCTTTTTCCTTTGCCAGCTGGCACTGAAGCTTTGTCAGTAGAGGGCGCTGGAGAGACGTTACAGGAAGAAAAAGGTTTGCCTCCTGGTTTTGAGGTGTTGGTAGGCCAGCGCTAGTAGCATACCTGGCTCTTTGCAGCACTGGGCTCTAGTAGTTGTTGGCAGCCAACAATTTCCTACATCACCACCCCCCTTCTAGAAGTTTTGTAGTGGAGGGCTTAAAGTAATACATCTCCCTATGAATAGCTGCTCCCAGCACCCTGGAGAGAATATTTCCTCCAAGTTCTAGAGCAGATTTTCAACAAGTTGTATTGGTGTGGCACCACAATTCCTTCCACCATTTGGCCCTCCAGCAAGTCATGGGTTTCAGCCACGGGTGAGTGTCTTCATTGGACATTATACCTAAGTCCTAGAATTAGTTATTGCTCCTTCCAAAACCCACTGTGATCCAGTTAATTCTGACTCATTGCAACCCTATAGGACAGAGTAGAACTGACCCATAGGGTTTCCAAGGCTGTACATCTTTAGGGAAGCAGACTGCTTCATCTTTTTCCCATGGAACAGATGGTGGATTCAAACCTCTCACCTTCCGACTACCAGCCAAATGCTTTAACCACTGCACATCCAGAGCTCTTCTATTGCTCAGCCGCTATTTCTACGTTCTTCAGCATATTCTTTTCTTACTAGTAAATTCATCATTGCTCTAATCACTTGTTACAGTTAATTTTTCATTAAGCTTTCTCTCTCTCCAGAAGGAAGACTGGACACCCTACTTCCATAAATATTTACTGCCTCAGAAACCCAAAGGGGCTCACTATGAGTCAGAATCAACTGTATGGTAGTGAGTTTCCTTATTTTCAGTTTCTCTCTCTCAGAAGTAGTCCCAGGAGGTAAACCCAGAAAGACAGGATTTGAGAATTGGTTTAGTTGGGCCTTTGGGTTTGAGTGCAATGCTGAACTCCTTGCTAGAAGGACATGAGATGCTAATAATTTATGGCATGAAAAGCATCCCAATTAATCAAGCAATTACCTGTGGACTATTGTGATGAAGTGCCAACTGAAGTACTGTTTGGTAACCCAAGTGGCAGCTACACTTGTGTAAATGGCAGTAGAGAGGACTGTGGTGTACTGTGGATTCTTTTGAGTGCCCTTGAGTACTTACAGAGAGAAAATGACAGGCACAGGTCCATTAACTCTTAGATCAAGTCATGGTCTGGAAACCAAAGAACTATAACAACTCTAAAAGAAGTTCTTATTTCTTGTAGCCACCAATAATATTGCTTAAAATCAAACCCAAAAGTTTAATTGTTCAGGTAGCTGAATTACAATAACAGTTGACTTCACAGACACACCAACTTTCTCATGTAAAAGTTGGGCATCAATTAGTTAATGATAGGATCTTGAGATGAAACTGATAATCTTGAACTTCCAAGTAACTCTGAGCATTACTTACCAGTGGAAAGTATGTTGCCCTCCTGTACCTAAGGACACTAGATTTCTCTGTTTAAAAACATTGTGACAACCCTACCTAGGGCAGATCCCTTGAAGGAGAATGTACCAACCACAATCATCCCCTGTTGTCAATGGACCCATAACTAGGTCAAATATCAGCCTGCTTCTGGGGTATAAGAACATAATATGATGGAAGAAGAAATAACCTACATACCAATAGAGCTACAAGACTTTGCTAATGTATAGTAGCAGAAACCTGGGAAATATGTGGGAGTAAATTCTATAAAAGGAACTCTAATGGCGTAGTGGATAAGCCATTTGACTGCTAACCAAAAGGTTGGTGGTTCAAACCCATTAGGTGCTCTGTGGAAGGACGATGAGGCAATCCACTTCCATAAAGATTTACTGCCTCAGAAACCCAGTAGGGGTCACTATGACTCAGAATTGACTCGATAGCAGTGAGATTGGTTTCTGGAGTTTGGATTCTATGGTGTTAGACCAAGGAGGACAGAATATAGCACTGCATTGAGAGTACATGTTGCTGTGAGGCTAGGTGCTATGCCACCAGAATTTCAAATACCAGCATGGTCACCCATAGTAGACAGTTTTCAGCAAAGACACCTTTCAGACTAAGACAGACTAGGAGGAAGGATGGGCCATCCACTTCTCAAAGAATCAGCTAGTGAAAATCGTATTAATACTAGTGAAACACTGTCTGATATATTCCTGGAAAACTTTATGAATAGCATTGAAACAATGTCTGATATAAGGTTGGAGAATGAACCTTTCAGGTTGGAAGGCACTCAAAATATGATAGGAGGAGCTGATTCCTTAAAGAAGAGTCAGTCTTAATAAGGTAGATGGAGTAAAGCTTTTGGGACCTTCCTATGTTGATGGGGCACAATTCAAAATGGGAAGAAACAGCTGCAAACATCCATTAATAATCAGAATGTGGAACGTATGAAATACGAAGCTAGGAAAATTGAAAGTTGTCAAAAATGAAGTGGAACATGTAAAGATCAGTATCCTAGGCATCAGTGAGTTGAACAGGACTGATACTGGCCATTTTGAATTAGACAATCATATGGTCTACCAACCTAAGAATGACAAGTTGAAGAGGAATGACATCACATTCATCATCAAAAAGGATGATTCAAGATCTGTCCTGAAGTACAATGCTGTCAGTGATAGGATAATAGTCATGTGTCTATGAGGAAGACCAGTCAATACTACTATTATTCAAATTTACACACCAAACACTAAAGCCAAAGATGAAGAGATTAATGATTTTTACCAACTTCTGCAGTCTGAAGTTGACCAAACATGCAATCAAGATGTATTGATAATTATTGGTGATTATAATGCAAAAACTGGAAACAAAGAAGAATCATCAGTAGTTGGAAAATAATGCCTTTGTGATAGAAATGACACCAGAGATCACATGAAAGAATTTGCAAGACAAATGACATATTCATTTCCAGTACCTTTTTCAACAACATAAATGGCGGGTGGCTATATATATGGACCTCACCAGATGGAACACATAGGAATCAGATTGATTGCATCTGTGGAAAAAAGCAAGTAGAAGCTCAATATTGTCATTTAAAACAAGGCCAGGAGCTAACAGCAGAACAGACCATCAGTTGCTCATATGCAAATTCAACATGAAACTGAAGAAAATTAAAACAAGTCCATTAGATCCAAAATATGACTTTGATTATATTCCACCTAAATTTAGAAACCATCTGAAAAATAAATTTGATGCATTGAACAACAATGACCAAAAACCAGATGAATTGTGGGATGACAGCAAGAACATGAAGAAAGCAAACGGTCATTAAAAAGACAGAAAAGGAAGAAAACACCAAAATGGCTGTCAGAAGAGACTCTGAAACTTGCTCTTGAACAGAGTACCTACAGCAAAAGAAAGAAATGATTTAAAAAAAAAAAGCTGAATAGGAGATTTCAAAGG